CTGACCACAAAATTTCAGAACAAATCTGGGGGTCTGCCAATGTTTTGTTTTCACAGGTTAGGGCATTCCGTACCATTGGCTATCACTACCTCTTTCAAAAACACAGGACATTCTGGGGCACTTGGGTGGCTCAGATGGTTAAGCGTCTGCCTTCGGCTCAGGTCATGATCCCAGGGTCCTGGGATTGAGCCCCACGTTGGGCTCCCTGCTCAGCGGGGGGCCTGCTTCTCCCCCTTCCTCTGCTTCTCCCCCTGTCCATATTCTCTCTCTCTCTCTGTGTCACGAATGAATCAAAAAAAAAAAAAAAATCTTTAAAAAAAATAAACAACACAGGACATTCTAATGAAAAAAATTAAATTAAGAGATCTAATCTTTGTAATGAATGATAGTCCTTAAATTGTACTTAAATACATGGGGGAAAAAATGCAACAAAACCATGACAATGAACTTGATCATAGTTCAGGACTGATTAGAATCACAAAGCAAAGTCAGAAAATTGAGCTCAAAGATGAGAAAAAGGCCCACCCCAGGTGACCCAGTACTTTAATCCCCAGAGCTGGGACAAGAGCCTAATTCTTGGTCTAGGGTCACTCCAACGTTATGACTGGGCCCTCACTGTGGCAGGCAATCGCCGTCACTGTACCTGGCTGAGTCTGTTCCAAATCCTTCTCATCCCACCAGGGCCCGCTCCCTGGTAGATGGCTCCCACAACACCAAGAAGGCAAAGTCTACGTAAACACTTTGGCCTTCTCTCCTCTCCAACCCGGAATCTTCCTGGATCTCCAGCCATTTTCTCTCCTTTCCCATGTTCTCCCACAAGGCAAGCCCTTCCTCCTGCGCAGGACCAACTTCCCTGTTGTGCGTCCCCCATCCTCCCAACACACATTTCCCCTGCCTCCTTCCCCCTTCCCGTCATCCCCCCACCTCTGTCTTGCATCATTCACTTTTCTCCATTGGCCCCTTGTCACCAGCATATAACCATGCTCAAGTTTCTGTACTGTCGTTTAAAGTTCCTTCCAGGGCGCCCGGGTGGCTCAGCCGGTTAAGTGGCTGCCTTTGGCTCAGGTCATGATCCCGGGGTCCTGGGATCAAGCCCCACGTCGGGCTCCCTGCTCAGTGGGGAGTCTGCTTCTCCCTCTACCCCTCCCCCTGCTTGTGATGTCACTCTCTGAACAAATAAATAAAATCTTTGAAAAAAATTCCTTCCAAAGTTCACAGAAAGAGAAAATCAAGATGGCTTTTAAACACACGAAAAACTCTGAAGGAAACTCCATCAGAGAAATGCAATATACTATCATGAGTTCTCATTTTTTCCACTTAGCTTGATAAAGGTCAGAAAATTCAAGAAGGCCCAGCATTAGTGAAGAAATAGGGGACTGGCTTTGCAGCCCTTTGTTGGTGGGATAAATCGGCATGAGTTCGTGTTTGGAGGAAAACGTGACAATCTTTCTGAATTTAAGAGGCACGTACTCACGTATGAGAAGTGTCCTGGCTGTTGCATTCATGGCAGCCCCGGGCTAGAAACAGTCCTGATGCCCATTCGCAGAAGATGGGCCAATGCATCACTGCATGTTCTGCCTCGAGGATAAATGAATTCCAATTACGTGTGACTATATGCTAGACCCCAAAGAGAACTGTAGGATTCTCTCGGGACAAGTTTCAATACATGCAGAAGTCTCCTCTGGTGTTGGAAGCCATGATCGGGGTTATCCGGGCGGGAGGTGGCGGGGCTCGGCGGGGGGGCTCCAAGGATGCTGCTACTATTCTGTTTCTTGATCCGGGTGCCAGTGACATCAAGTGTGTGCCTGGTGCAAATTCAGTGAGTGGTACCCTTTCGTTTCCACATTCGCCTGGATCTCTACTGTGCTTCACTGACGTTTACCGAAAGGAAAAAGGACAGAAAAGAAATGCAAGGGCAGTTAACCCGGCAACTCCAGTCGCAGGAGGCGATCCTATAGGTGTCCTTGAATGTGGGCAAACAATGCTTGGACATCACGTCCTGGCAAGCTGGACATAATCTGAACAGCCCGCTGATTTAACCAGGAGGAAAGTAAGTTCTGACACATTTGTATAATGGAACATTAGTTAACCCTTCCAAAGCATGAGACTGATTTCTGTGAACGGAGAGCTAACACCCTCTAGGACACATTGCGAAATCAGCAAGCGAGGTGCAGAAGGTGCACAGAACACTATCCGTTGGGTAGGAGCGCGTTTGCACAGAGACTCTGTCTGGCAAGTCACACGGGAACGGGGCGGCTGTCTGCTTAGTGGCGGTTGTCCGTGTCCACATCCAGTCTGTCCACACTCTGTCTGAGGGTCTCAGTGATGTCTCTGAGTGAATGACTTGTAACGGTCTGTAGTTTACAAACATGTCACTATTCCTTTGACTCCACGGGACCAGCATCCAGGGTGTGGCGGCAACCGCAGCCCTGTGTGCATGTGTGAGAAGAAAGGCTTCATGGAGAAGCAGGATCTGGGTAGAGGTGAGGGAGAAATAAGGACGGACCAGCAGGAGCAAAGACCTGTCGGTTTGTCCGTCTGTAACATGGGCTAGACAAGGGAAGGACAGGGCCTTATACTTGAAGAGCCCTGAGCCAGCCTGCTGTCCAAGTTTCCGGGGGTTCCTGCTGCCCAGGGAGCAGGCACAGAGCCTGATGTGGCAGAAGCTCACATGCCACACTCACCGCCAGCAGCTGTCATCTTGTAGGCGACAGAGATATGGCCAGCCACGTGACTCAGCCACACTGCCACGGCTGGGATTTGGATCCAAGTCTGACTCCCAAACCCTGCACTGAGCATTCTGCTGAACTGTCCTGCTGTATGGCAGTCAGGGAGGGCTTCACTGAGGAGTCACGCAGTCCTACGGAGTCAAAGTGGAGAAGGGCTGCCGTGTTCCACGCAGAAGGCACACCATGTGCAAAGCAGAAGAGAGTGACTTGACCTGACATTGTGGGTGGGGGGTCGGTTGCATGCACAGAGTTCTGTATTGGTGCAGTGGAGGCAGGACAGCAAGAGAATAAGGGATTGGGGGAACTGGTCGGCATGATGCAGGAAGCTCTGGCCCAGGCTGGTTATGCAGAATCATGGACTCTTGCCTAAGGAGCGAGGCTCAGTCCTGTAGCTACTTGGCTTCCAGCTGAGTTTGCATACTGGTTTGGTACCGTCTCTCCTTCCAGAAGATCATTCTAGCAGTGAGATGAAGGGCGGATGATAGGCAATGAGGCTGGAGGCAGGGAGACCTGCTGGGAGGCAGTGGAAACAACTCAGGTGACAGAGGACGGCGGCCTGGACTGGGCACGAGTGGGTGATGAGACAAAGCTAGCAATCTGAGAGAGAGTCAGGAAGAAGAAGGGCATGAAGTAATTGGCAAAAGGAACCAAGTGCAGGAAAGGGAAGGGTCCAAGTTGACTCCGCTCTCTAGGTGAAGTATCAGGGTATCTGGCGATGCCCTTCCCAGAGATGAGAAATCCAGATTTGGGTAGACTGTGAGTTCAGTCTCAAGGACAGAGAATTAGAGGTGTCTTGCAGGTGGGGGGAGCGGGGCATAGTAGGTGTTTGCCTTTATTCACTCATTCAACCACTGGTTACAGTGTGCCTGCAGTGAGCCAGGCACCCGCGGTTCATAGTGACTCACACAAGCTCCCTAACCTAGGGAGGGGAGACAATTAACAAATAACTAAAGAAACAAAAAAGTGACAGGTCCTGAAATGTGCCGGAGTGGAACTGAAGAAGAAATGGAGAGTAGTTGGTCAGCTTACCTCCCCCTACCCAACCGAGCAGAACTGTGAGGAGGATCTGTGGCCAGACCCCTGGGCCTCCCCTGCTGCCTTACCAGGAGGCCCTGCATGCTCTTGTGGCCTGTCCCTTGGCCCCAGGGCTTCTCTAGCTCAGAGCGCAGCCCCCACAGTGCGGGCATGGATCCTCTACTTTCTCGTGCAGTTCGCTTTTAGGGCCAAGGACTCCTCACGGTGGCCTCTGCACCCCAGCTGCACCCACCCATATCACAGCTCGGCAACTGTGGGCCGTGTGGGTGCATGAAGGGTTGTCCCACGTTGAGCGGCAGGCTTTAGGGGTACACATAAACACAGCCTGGTCCCTGATCTTCAAGAACTTAAAGCTGCAGAAGAGGGTAAACCACACCCAAGTACAGGGGGGAGAAAAGATGCCAGCGGGTATCTCTCTCATTCAAGCTAGAGGAGTCCTAGAGGGGGTGACGCTTACACGGGGTTGGGAAGAATGGAGGGTGTCACCAGGCACCTTCCAGATCTTGGTTCACCCTAGCCCCACTTAAAAGGGTGGAAACTGGGGCCCAGAGGTGCCTGGGAAGGGGCGTCAAAGGCGGACCCACGTCCAGAAGCTTGGGTTCTGGGTGCCTGCAGAAAGGAGCCACGGATGCAGAAATGTCACCTGGAGCCAGCCAGCTTTCAAAACTCCTCCCCATCAGGGAGGCACTCCTAGGAGCCAATCAGAGATAAATTAAAAACAAAAACAAAAACAAGCAAGCAAAACCTGGTGGGTTCCCTCTATGGGACGAATTCTCTCCATAGGGGCCTGCACTTGGGCGGGGCGCGGGCGGGACCCCTTTAAGTACCACCCCCCTTCCCAGCCGGCCCTGCCCAGGGACTTCCCCGGCCCCATCTGCACCGCCCTTCCCTCTGGCAGCAGCCGCCGCTGCCGCCGGGACCTTTCCCCTACTTTCCAGGGCCTCAGGCCCCGCCCCTCACTCCGACCAAAACACGTGCCGCATCCCGCCCTGCCAGATCACGCCGCGGCCAGGCTCCGATCACGCGGCTCCCCGCGGCGCCCATTGGCCGGCGGCGCAAAGACCGGGCGCGGATTGGCTGGCGGGCGTCCGGCCCCGCCCCGGCGGGGCGCGGTGTATTTTGGTTTGCCTTCGCGCCACGCCCCCCCGGCCGCTCCCTCCGCAGCCGCCCCGCCCCTCCCGCACCGCGAGGGCCGCGCCGGGGCAGAGCGGCGCGGGCGGGCGGAGGCTCCCGCCGGCTGCAGGAGCTCCGGGTCGCCGCCTCCCGCGGCGCACGTGCGGGTGCAGCCGTGCGCCGAGCTCCCGCCCCGCAGCTGCTTTGTTGCCTCCGGGCCGCCGGCACCATGCACACTCCGGGCTCCGTGGGCCCGGGCGACGCGCGTGCGGTGAGTGGACGCCCATCTGAGCGAGGGGCGAGGCGGGGATGTGCCGCCTGTGCGGGGCCTGGGGGCGGAGGAGGGCGGAAATGCACGGGGCTTTGCCGCGGCCGCACGGTTAGGGGCGCGAGGGGACCCCGGAGCTGGGAGGGGCAGGGGACGCGCCCGGCCTCCCGGGGGCGTGTGCCCCGCGCCGCCCTACGCGTAGCTTTGTCTGGCGTTTCCGCAGCGGCCGCCGGCTCCCGGCGCGGGGCTATTTCCAGCCATGACGTCACCAGGCCGTGTGAGGAGGCGGCCGTGGGGCGGGGCGCGGCTGGCGGGAACGCGACACGCGGGCGGCGGGGGTGCGGCAAGCGGGCGGTGGAAAAGGGAGGGGGCGGGGCAAAAGCTGGCGGGAAGGCCCTGAGGGGAGGGGGCGGGACAAAGCTGGCGGGAAGGCCACACGCGATAGGTGGAGGCAGGGGGTGGGGCAGAGCTGGGAGGAAGGCCTTAGGTAGGGGGCGGGGCAAAGCTGGAAAGGTGGGGTGGTGGGGCGGGGCAAAGGGGGTGGGGCGGGGCAAAGTTGGCGGGAAGGCGCACGCGGGGGTGGGGGGGGCGAGGTAGGGCGCTGTTCTTAGCCGTGGCCCCCTGGTGTTAGGGCCTGAGGGCCAAGGGGAGTTAGTTGGCTGGCTAGACCTAGGACTTTGGTCGTCGAGACTGGAGGACCCCGAGGGCCTGAGAGAAAGGTGTGGGAGCCCTGCGCGCCTCCAGATCTCCCGCCCATGGCGGCAGAGCGAGCAGGAGGCAGCCCGCGTCTGTGACCTCAGGGTTCCGGGGCCCGGGCTGCGGACGAAGCTGGGCCAGAGTGGTGCTTGCAAAGTCAGCCACCTTACCAGCGTGCCCTGCGCGGGGGACCTGGCGGGACAGAGGGGTTTGACGCTCGCTAGGGCAAGCCAAGTGGAAACACGTATCTTTGTAGATGTAAAGGGTCTTTGGGAAGGGATGGGTTGGTTCCAGTCACTTCTCTTCCCACCCTCCCCCCCCCCCAAAAGACCGGTGTGACACACAGGGAAGGACATCTGTCTCTTGGGCTGGCTAGATTTTCAAAATTTTTCTTCTTATCTCCTGACTGGCAGTAAGGAGTGACTGAGTGTTCCTGAGTCTAAGGAACAAGGCTCAGCCAGCATAGGCTCCCCCTTCCTGGCGCCCATGGAGTTGAGCCACTGGAAAGTTCTGCCCATGGTGATGCCCTGACTTGAGAAGGCTGTGCTGAGTGCTTCAGAGAGCTGCCAAAAATGCATCTGTAGGGACACTCTTCTGCTGGCTTTGCCAACTCTGAAGAGCCATGTGTCCTCTCAGCCAACTGAAGGCTTAGAGTCGGTGTCTGTTTCTCCTCCTGGCTGGACAGTGTCACACTGGCCACTTTGGCTCACACCTCTGGAATTAAAGTCTTACTAATCATTACCAAAGGAAAACACGAACTTAACTTTTCTTAAGAATCAGTGTTTTCCGTGGAAACTGCTGGCCAGCCAAGTCCAGTCATCTTCATTCTTCAGAACATTGGCTTAAAAGTGAAATTGTCATCAATGTTCTGTTGACATATTTTCCTAGAATACAGAGCGTCTTGTGTGTCGAGTATGGTGTATTATGTGCATAGTGCAGGCGCCTGGTGTACGTACCTACATGCCCATCAGGGTTGCCCTCTCTTTGTCCGCTGGACTGAGAAGCCATTGTGTTGTGTCGCCTTTAGGTTGACATCATGGACATCTGTGAGTCAATCCTGGAGAGGAAGAGGCATGATAGTGAAAGGTCTACCTGCAGCATCTTAGAGCAGAATGACATCGAAGCAGTTGAGGCTCTTGTTTGCATGAGCTCCTGGGGTCAAAGATCCCAGAAAGGTGACCTATTAAAGATAAGACCCCTCACACCTGTCTCTGACCCTGGGGATGTCACCAGCACTGTGCACGTGGACACAGCCGCATCTGAGCTACCAAAGGACTTCGACTCTTTATCGACTCTGGTAAGAAGTGGGGAGAAGAGCATCTTGTGTAATGACTAGAGTATGTTAAATAAATGTGCTGAAGAACTTGTGGGTAGATTCATTGGGGTGCTGGTAGGCCAAGTACGTAACCTCCTCTTGGATGGGTCCTAAGGGTGAAAACTTCTCTTACTTCTTCAAAATATGCTCGTTCCATTAATAGATTATCGCTTGTAGCCACAGGGTTAAAATGTTCATAGGAGGAAACCTATAGATTGATGTGAGAAAGTAAAGTGTACTCGCTTCCCTGGGGAATTGCAGGGTGGGGGCTTAGCTTCCCCCAGATGACCCAGTCTGGGATCAGGATACATGGGTGGCAGGTATAAGCAGCCTGTGCTTTGGCACCAGCCTTAATTAGCTAGGTTGAAATACCGGCCTCTGCCTCCCTGGAGCAACCCAGTTCTTACTTGCGTGAGCTGAGTGCAGTCAAGCACGGTTTTTGTTTCTGTTTTCTTAACTTGCTAGAGCTACAGAAGTGCTGGGAGAGATTGCTTCTCAGCTTGGAGAAATTGAGTACGGGCTAACATGTGCAAAGTAGAATCTTGGGTCGGAAGCTTGTACTGGAAGGAGAGTGTGGAAAGCAGACTTGGGAAGAGAGAAGAGAAGGAGCTCGTGGGCAGTGGAGAAAACTGTACAAATAACGGGCCAGAAGCACCTCACAGAGCTACTTGGCCTTGAGCTCTCCCACAGGGAGGCTGACAATAAGTGGGAGTTGTTGGGTGCCGCGGAGAGGCTTGGTTCAGTTAGAGCCACTGGTTAGTGCGTGGCCTTTGGGAGGTCATTCCGACGGGTTTTTACCTGGCATCCACTAGGCACTGGATAAGTGTGTGTTAAATGATTAGCACTGGGATTAAAAAAAAAAGAAAGATTTGAGAATCAAAAGCTATTGTGAAAAGCTCTTATTTTGGATATAAATTTGCTTTCTTATTTGTGGTCCTAATACTTAAATCGCTCATTTCAGTAGCTGTGCAAGCCCCCAGGTGGCACTGACCTTCTTAAAACTAAGCAAGTGGGTTGGTTTGGGAGAGCTCAGGAAATGGGGAGAAGCCTAGAAAGTAAAATACTTCATGTAGTCTTGAAATTCACTGGGTGCTGTTGTGAGCAGGCTTAGACGAGTCTTTCCTAGATACTTTTTAAAAGGCATTTGGGGCATGGTGATCAACGTAAGTCCCTTTTAAAATTTAACCACAACAACCTTTTCACACAGGAATTTTTTTTTTTTTTTTTTAAGTGCATGACTCCTCCTCAGAGCCCTGATCTTGTGGAGCCATCGACAGGGACACTTGTTCCTTCCCAAGTAACTGATTCCAAAGCATGCATGGTCATGGCCATCCCCCCAGCCTCTGCTGGGGCAGCCAAAGTGCTGAGCAGGAAGGCGGAGAGGGGCCTTCCTGGTTTGAAGCCAGAGCCACTGGAGCCAGCCCCCAGCTCCCCCTGCAGGCCCATGGTGACAAGTGTCATCCACCACACCGGGGGGAATCCTGCTCCTGGCCACATTCCTACTGCCCAGATTCAAGAATGCCAACTTCCCGTCAACAGAGGAGAAGCACAGTTTTTGGGACATACTGAATCTTTGCTGGACACACAACTCACAGATAATCTACTGACCACTAACTCAGTGTCGTGTCAGCCTTGCTTGCACAAGTCTGGTGGCCTGATCCCCGTTGACAAAGGCCAGCAGTCAGGGTGGCCTGTTGCAATTCAAACCTGCTTACCAAAGAATTATGAAAATGACTTGCAAAGGAAAGCCACCCCTCTGATTTCTGTCCCTGTCCCCAGTTCCCCTGTCTTTTGCCAAATGATCCCTGTGACTGGACAGAGCGGCATGTTACCAGCTTTTTTGAAGCCTCCTCCCCAAGTGTCTGCAGGGACTGTCAAACCCATCCTGCCCCATGCTGCTCCTGTGCCCCAGCCTGTGTTCGTGGGACCGCCTGTGCCTCAGGGAGCTGTGATGCTGGTCCTGCCCCAGGCGACCCTCCCCCAGCCTGCCACCTCTTCATCCAATGTCGTGGCTGTGGGCAATACCAAGTTCTTGCCCCTTGCGCCTGCCCCAGTCTTCATTGCCTCCGGTCAAAACTGTGCCCCTCAGGTAGACTTTTCCCGAAGGAGAAATTATGTTTGCAACTTCCCAGGCTGCCGGAAAACCTACTTCAAAAGTTCCCACCTCAAGGCTCACCTTCGCACCCACACAGGTGAGTACTAAGGCAGGTAGGGCATTAGAACTCCAGAGCCTGTGTTGAAGAAACACACACTGAGCCTTCCTGGAGTGGGAGGGAAACATGAGAAGCACTGGAAAACGTGGAAAGTTGGCTGTTTTTCTTTGGTTTTGAAAAGCCTTCATAGTCTTGTAGGGATTGGGATTAACATTAGTACAACCATCATTGGTTTTTCTGGAACATGCCATCTGCTCATCCCAGTAGATAAAAATGTAGTATTGTTCTAGGATTGTGATCCCTTTGATAGATTTTTAGGGTGATGCTCATGTTGCCCCTTTTTCTTTACATTGCAGTAGACTCCTCAGTCTTTGCATTTTAGAAAATGTGCATTTCACATTCAATAAACATCAGTGTAACTTATTTTGGTTCACTATGGGGAGAGGTCTGTGAAGTGTGGAAAAGTTTGAATTTGAAAATACGTGAACTTTAAGGGGATGTAGTTTTCTTATGTTGGGAATATATAGTTTTGAATTCAGAAGAAGTCATACAAGAAACTCTAATGACTTAGTGTTCTTTTTTTTTTTAATCTCATCAGCCTGGTCCAAGAGAATTTTTGGCAATGATAGAAATATTCTCTGTCCAGTTAAGGTAGCCACTAACTATATGCTTGAAATGTGGACGGTGTGACTAAAGGAGTAAATTTTTCATTTTCATTAAGTTTACATAGCTACGTGGGGCTGGTGGCTACCATGTTTAACTGAGGTCTGGTAGAGCTTCTGCTTAAGTAGATTCAGTCAGAATATTTCAAATGTTCTGTGGCACTCTTGTTCTTTGAGTTAGTGTTCTGCTGTTTTGTTTTTAAGGCTCCTATGGTTAAATGGTGTGTTAAACTCGCCTTTGAGAGGTTCACACACATACGTAAGTATAAGCACGGTATCAGGTTACACGGAGCCTGCAGTAAGGATGTGTTTCATAAACTCTTGGTCATGGAACCCCCTTCCACCAAGAGGTCTGCTAACAGCCTGTAGGACAGCAGTGAGTTGTGGAGTACAGTGGAGGAAGGGCTGAACTGGAAGGAGTTTCTATTGTATTGTCTTCCAAAATGCATTTCGGTTTGGTGGTTATAGCTCATTATAGGTCTAATCATGGTGGCTCTCACTCAACGAATGGAATAGAGTCTAATATTTAGATGTGATAGTCACAGATGTATCAAAGCAAATGGGTGCCTCCAAGGGGCTCTACTTTTTTTTTTTTTTTTTAAAGATTTTATGTATTTATTTGGTGGGGGGGGAGTGCCTGCATGAGCTCAAGAGGGCATGCACAAGTTGGGGAGAGAGGCAGAGGGAGAAGTAGACTCCCCACTGAGCAGGGAGCCCGAGCTAAAGGCAGATGCTTAACCAACTGAGCCACCCAGGTGCCCCAAGGGGCTTTACTTTTGAAGGAAGGAATTATTCCTTTCAAGAGTCTTCTCCCTACCCAAAGCTATAACAATGAGATATTTATTTTTATTTAAAAACATCTTTTGAGGAGCACCCGGGTGGTGCAGTCTGTTGGGTATCGAGCTCTTGGTTTCAGCTCGAGTCATGATCTTGGGGTTGTGGGATTGAGCCCTGTGTCAGGCTCCACACTCAACACAGAGTCTGCTTGAGACTATGTCTATCCCTCCCCCATGCTTGCGCACGCTCTCTCTCTTTCTCAGATGGGTAAATCTTAAAAAAAAAAAACAATCTTTTGAAATGTGAGATTAGTCTGACATCTTTGGGCCCTGACATATATCTTAGGTGTGGCAACAAAAAATGGAGGATTTCCTGACTTTTGAATAACTCAATACCAGAATAATAGGATACTACTTTCTTAGATTTTGATGAACAAAATTTCAAAACGACATGAATTAACCAGCTCGGGTAAGGTGCTGAGTGTTTACATTTTCTTTGATGTGTGTTTTCTCCCCCCCTTAGGAGAGAAGCCTTTTAACTGTAACTGGGATGGCTGTGATAAAAAATTTGCTCGTTCCGATGAACTCTCTCGCCACCGCAGAACTCACACTGGGGAGAAAAAATTTGTGTGCCCCGTGTGTGATCGGCGTTTCATGCGCAGTGACCACCTAACAAAGCATGCCCGGCGCCACATGACTACCAAGAAGGTCCCTGGCTGGCAGGCAGAGGTTGGCAAACTGAACAGAATTGCCTCAGCAGAGAGACCTGGGAGCCCACTAGTGAGCATGCCGGCCTCTGCATGAAAGGTCAGCCAGGGACTTGCCCATGGGAATTTTAAAAAGCATTTTTCAGGAATGGAACTGATGGTTTTCTCTCCCCCCCCCAAAAAAAATTGTTTTGGGGAGTAGGAGAAAGTGGGGAGCTGGTTCTGATGAAAGTATGTTAACTTTTCCTTTTTGGTTGGGACCCTGTTCAAAATCTTTTGTAGTTTCAGAAGTTTTTTTGAGGAAATGGGAGAAAATTTGATCATCTGAATCACCAGCATTCAAACCAACATTTCGGCAATAAAAGTTTACAAAATTTGGATTTTTATAACCTTTCTATTCATGTTTTGTAGAACTGAGACAGGGTACTAATTTTTATACTGTTTTTTTATTAAAGTATTTATATTGTTGGTGTTCAAATCATCAGTTTCTAGATAGGTGATTTTACAGTCTTTCTTTTCAGTGTTCAACAATGGTTTTCAAAATAACTCTACTTTTAGTAAATTTGGCACATTATTCAGCCACACAAAAAAACCAAAACAAAAAAACAAAACTGCAAGTCTGTCATCAGGCCTTTTAGATCTAAGAATTTTTTAGAACCAGAACTAGTTGAATAGGGGCTTCTTAAATGGGGTGGGGCGGGGAGAGAAGAACTTGCATTTAGCTTTTTCATAACATTTTCAAGAGAAATTCCAGGCAACAATTCCTTTAAGGCTGTAGCCCAAGGAATTAAAATTTTGGTTAAGTAGAACTAGTCATTTACCTGTGTCCATGGTGTGACTTGTAAAGAATGTACCCCAGAGGATATTTAAAATACCTGATAGATCCCCAGTGAACAGTGAGCTGTAGGATCTGAGTGTCTGTGTCTTTGGGGGCCATTGCTCTGCTGAGAGCAACCTAACTCAGTTTCCTGTTTGTACCTCAAACACCAAAAAAAGATAACATAAGCACTCAAACCCAGCCACTTTGTTAATTGTCTGTTGACTTCTTTTGCTGTGGCCTTATAGTACTTTGTGAGTAGAAGAAATTCTTAGAGAAGAGGAAAAAGTCCTTATTGGTTGGAGGAACTTTCCACCAAAGTACAGTTTATCTGAGGTGAAGTGTACATGCAAACAGTCCAGCTCCAATATTCTGAATTGTTAAATATTAATTATTAAATATTAAGAACTACAGGCAACGCAAGTTACACTTAAGGCAGTAATACTACTGTGCTTTCCTTTCATTCATTTTATTTGAAGGGAGTTGATCAAACAATTACTTGGAATGGGGTGTTTTGCAGTCTGCTTAGAAAATAGACCCATGGCACCACTTTGAATCCGTGTGATCTCAGGTCCTAATTCTCCAGAGACTGCGGCGCTGGGGTCCGGGAAGCCACTGAGCTTGCTTGAGCTGGGTGGCGTCGGGAATCCAGGCAACACGATGCACCCAAGGAACATAGGAATGTTGCACTGCTTTGTGAGCCTGGGGATGGGTTGTTTTTTTTTTGTGTATGCGTGCCATGTGTATTTAGATTTTTGTCTTTGTCTCTTTGTTACTGGCATTTACTTTTATTAAAATGATGGTAAGGTGAAATACTGAATAAATATGATTAGGTTTTATGTTTGGGTCCTTTAGTCTGATAATCGTCACCTGGTCAGTCACTGGATGTTACTTGATACCCAGTAAGTTGCCCTTTGGTATCAACTGCTGAGTGACCTACACGTCTGAGTGCTGGCTGTATGTTTAGGTGGCGTTCATATTTTTGGACACTTCATAGTTGAGTACTCCTGAAGCTCATGAGACAATACCGTTGGCAAGAGAACCGTAATTAAATGTATATAGCTCATGTTTCCCCACCACCCAATCTCTTCTCCCGCTTCCATCTTAAATCAACATAAACATTTGACTATGTATATGCCGTTAAATGGCATTAAATTTGGATATTTTTCTTAATTATGCAAAATAATGGAAGTCCAACTCATGTTCTGGTGGATAAACAAGGTCTTTGAGTATTGGATTACTTGTCACGTTAAAGTTCATTCTCTGAGCAGTGTCGTTTTGAAAGAATAGATGGGTTAAAATGGTTTTGATTTATACTTCCATTTCCTGATTAGATTTAGAAATACCTTCTGTAAACAACATGTTTTCTGCCCCCCTCTGTTTGTTGACTGAAAGACTGTAAGTTGGGAGAGTGTCCATCTGAAAAAGACTCTCCTGAGAACCAGAAACCCTGGTGTTCTCAGCGTGGAGGCCACCGGCCGGCGGCTCTGGGCGTCGGGAGCGGAGCGCGCCGCGGCCTCCCCCGGTGCACTTTATTGCTGAGCAATTTTGCTTGATCTTTTTTTTTTTACTTTGAGCCTTTTTAAGTAGTTTCAGTAGTAAAATTTAAAATGTTTCGGAATTATGTTTTATGTAACAGACTTGGACTTATTATTTAAATGAATATGTGTGATGTAACTTTTTTCTTTGAATCCTATAAAACTTTTTTGATTTGCAAACTGGACTTGTGTCCTGTGTCCTGTGTCCTGTAGCCGCGTCAGAACATACCCGTATCTTTTCAGCAGAGTCCACAAAATTTATTGTATATTGGCCCTACCTAAGCCTCCTCTCTGTTTTCTGGGCTTCTGTTCAGCTCCCAGGTGCCCTTTAGATTCCCTGGAGGATTCTTGGTGAAAGAGATGTGTGCAGAGGCTGCGTCTGTGTGCGCCCTCTGACGCCGCTCTGGTTCTGGCCCATGGGACCGCGGGTGCTGGGCAACCTGGACAGGAGGCCGAGTGAGAACAAGTCTCCCCCCTCCCTCCTCCCCCCTCCAGCCCAGGCTGTACAAGCGTGTCGCCGAGCCATGGGCTTCACCCCTTGCTCTCGGGGCATGTTCTCTCCTGAACCTTCGGCGGCAGGGGCTCTGCATCCACCCCTCACCGAGGGAGCTGAGACCTGCATCAGTTCACGCCTCAGTCATACTTGGGTGTCGGCAGCCTTGACAGAGCTGATCGCCCCCACAGGCCACACTCGCCCGCTGTCCTGGGGCTGCACTGCCTGCTCTTTGCTGGGGCCCCCCTCCCCCTGACCCTTTTTCTACTCCCCTCACACGCACGGTGATCGTTTCCAGTCTCGGGCCTTAGATGGAAATAACCTCTCTACTGTGGAGACGCCGTGTGCGTATCTGTCCTTTGCACCCCTAACCGGAGCGTCGGAGCCCCCCTTCCAGCTCTCTACTTGACGTGTGTCCAGGCGGCATCTCAAACTTAGCCACGCTCCTTGTCTTCTCTCCCATGCTCGGTTTTCGCACGGTTAAGCCCACTGTCTTCAAAAAGAACAGGGAGTCCGACTTCCAGCCTTCAGGTGTAAAACCTTGGAGTCACCCGCACTCCTTTCTCACTTCGCGCGCAGTCTGTCGCAGTCCCGCTGACTCCCCGCCTCCTGAAGCTGGGCCCCCTGGGATGTGATTCAGTAGGCCACACCACTCCTGGTCCACGCACACACAGGCGGGGGGCTGGGGGTGAGGGGTTGGTAAATAAATGATCATAATGCGCTTTGCATTCAGCAGTCCACCCAGGAAAGTCTCTCCGACTCCGAACACCTTTGTTTCTAGGGGACAGCCACAAGCGTGGTACCTTCAGCTGTGTGAGTTTGTACTTGCTGTCCTTCCTCTTGTCCCCAGGGCTCTAACTGCTGCCTGGCTGTAACACCCACTGTCCCTGTGCTTTCCACCTGCCTCTTTGTTGAGGGACTTCCACAGTGAGGAACTTGAGACATTTTCCTGATGGCTGGGCCCCCTCCTGGGAGAAAGCCCAGGCTCTGGGACTCCCTGCCCTAGAGGGGTGAGACGCAGTCCTCTCTAAGTTAGGAGGGTTGGTTCCCAAAGGCCTCTCACCGCTCCCTAAGAAGCTTAGTGCCTTCCAGGATTGTCCTGAGCTGACTCCGCAGACAGGCTGCTTCTCCCCAGGATGTCTTGCTGATCTCAGGACAAAGTGGCCAACAAGCAAGATGATAAAGAAGAAATAAGATGCCACAAGTCAAGTGCTGGGAGATGCACGCGTAGTCAAGTGACAATCATACTGTGATGGGCTTGCGCTTCCTCAGCTCTCAGCAGGCCGTTCTGATGGCAGCCTTCCGGGGGGCCTTCCCAGGGCACCCCTTTTCTGGGCTCTTTCAAGACTAGAGTTTCGGTCTTTAAAACTTACCATATTTCACTGGATTTTATTGCAAATCTAATTTACCTGCTAAAATGTAAGGTCCCGCATGCCAGAGATCATATCGCATCCACCTGCCCCCCATCCACCCTCCCCATCCATCCATTCAAACCCCGTCTGTCCATTTATCCACCCTCCAACCGCACATAACAAACTCCTGTCATGTTGGAGCAGAAACCCAGAGATGAGTCATTCTAGTTTCTGCCCCCAAGGCGCTCGTAGTCCTGCAGGTAAGACGTGAAAACACATGAACATATTGAGCCGAAAACAGATAAAAGAAGATAGAGGGTCAGGGAGCACCGTGCAGTGAGTGGCTGATGGCTTGTGCCACTAGAAGGGTCTTCTGGAGGAACATCTGAACCAAAAGGTGAAGGGAAGGTTTTCCAGGCCCTGGACCAGAACAGCAGCAGACACAGGACAAAGATGCCGACGTTCCCCGCCCCCCGCTCCCCCAAGGCTGTAGGTGCCAGGGGCGGGGTGTGCGGGCCCCGGTAGGAGCGGAGGGGGCAATGCTGGGGAGGCGGCCTTGTGTCTTCCCTAAGGACCGGGCAAGCATCACTGAGGGTGCCCCAGGGCGGGAGTAGGGAAGCAGCCCGCACCCGCTGCGGACTCACCTGGATTCTGGGGAGGGGTGTGGGGAAGATGTGGGTCTGTGCCCCTTCTCCCCCTTTCCTGAACCTCCCTTTCATGCCAACAGCCTACCGCCTCTCCTGGCTGAACTCACTGCCCAGCCTTATTTCATGGCACTTGTCACTGTAATCACACCTTGTCCCCCCCCTCCATAGACTGTGGGTTCCCTGAGGACAGGGATGGCAGGCCTTCCTTGTGGCTGGTCTGTGTCCCTGAGGCCCAGCATCCTGGAGGCACAGGCGACTCCCTCAGTGTTTGTTAAACGGGGGAAATTCATGCTCCGTGCTCGGGTCAGACTGCTGCGGCCGAGGA